GTAGTGATAAGGAGACAACTGACAAGTCACTTATCTCGTTGACTTCTTCTTCCTCTTCTCTGTTGAAAAATAGGATCCTAAGGTGAGAGCGGGCAGTGTGGATATCATGCGCCATTGGCATGCCCTTGGCTACCTCCTCATTTACATCTCAGCTCGACCTGACATGCAGCATCGCCAAGTTGTTGCTTGGTTGGCTCAACACAATTTCCCTCCTGGTCTCACCTTCTTCCTTGATGGCATCTTCACTGACCCTCTGCGACAGAAAGCTCTCCTACTCAAGTCTCTCATTGAACAGGTACGTCGTCGTCGTCGTCACAATTTGGCATTAACGTGCTTCCATTATTTTTTTGTCGCTGTTGCTTTCTTCTTCTCAATTGCTATTCCTTTCTGTTTTAAATTTAGCGGTGCAAGTACTCGAATTTTCATAGAGGATAGGAGTGATCGAAAGGTAGAGTTCAGTAGAAAACATCTTAAAAATAACGAAATTTGTAGTGATCGAGCATATTGTCTATAAGAGTAAACAGGTCGAAAGGTTAACTGTAAAAGTAAAAGTCTTGTCACAAAATCTATCTTCGCCTCAAGTATCATAAGCCCTTATTTCCCACTCTCCCCCTGCACTCATGTAGTGGTCGTGGTGTTGACTAGTTCTTGAATACTTACTTGTTGGGGTTGTTGGTCTAACCCCTCGTCAAACAAAATGGCGTGCCCTGCAGCTTACGCTGAAGTTGATGCAGAAAAATGCACGAGAGCAAATAACTTTAACACGGATTTTTATCATGTCCGTAGTATGTGGAAAATATAGCCTCTGGGTGTAAATGTCCCCTCATTAAAAATCACATGGAATAGATGCTTTTCCTTATACTGCCCTGTCGCCTAGCATTGCCTACTTCAGGTATTCTCGGGTGTGGAATAATTTGTAAACACAGTGCGCTAAAATCGATGGTATGCCGTGGTTTCACCTCCCTTTTTTATTACGCCATTTCTTATTCATTAAGCTTGCTCACCATATGAGATCAATCATATGAGATTTGAAAAACAAATGGGCAAAAGTTCCTTTTTAACAACGTAACAAATGTACTATCCAGACGTGTAGTTCGTGACTTTCAGTACAATGTTTGTTTGAAAAGAAAGCAGAACAATGCTTCGCTGTGCTCCCAAAATGTATTTTTCGATTTCACGTCGTTGTCGTGTTAGGTTATCACGCATTGAATTTGTCGACAATTATAAATCGATTGGCCCGCTATTTGATGACTAATCTTCATGGTCTGTCAAAATGCTTTGCTAATTCCTCCTCTCTCTCTCTCCCCCTCTAGGTTCTCCTCAATTGTAATACTGGTCCTGTTCATAAGTTTTAACCAAGGTGGAAAGTTGCACTTTGCCAAAAATACCACTGATCTCTTCTAAAATTTGTTTAAATATGCTCTGTCGGTCCCTTTTTGACCATATTGGTTTACATGCTGTGTGTCTGGCAATTGTTCCCTATAGCGATGCCAAAGCTGCTCCCCTAATCCAACTTCAAGACCTCATTGACAACGTGTTCACTGGCTTGAGCGGTTCTTTTTTAGCTGATGAACTCTTATGAGTTTACCGAATTTCTTAAAAACTCTTCTTTTTCGGAACATTTTGTGCTATTCGGTTGATACCTATTCTCAAGGACCTCGCTCTACTATTTTTTTTGTATTCTTGTAGAATTATTTGAAAAGAATATAAACCTCTTTTTTACTGGTGAGGTGTTCATGAAACGGGAATAGCCTTTCCCCAAATATCTCATCCTTGGGGCTTTAAATTTTATTGGGTTTACAATGTGGCCTCTTATTCACAGAAATTTTATAAAATTAAATTCATTTGATTACTTTATGCTTAAAAGGCAGATATTTTAGAATGTTGTAGAATCACTGTTTTATTGTTTCAACATCAACCACGCCCTGTACTTGAGAGTAGGTAGAAGGTCTTGGAAACATTCATGCACAATTTTAAGGTCAACAATCCTAAGAATTATTACAGATAAATTCATGATTCGTGTCATTGTTATATTTAGAATAAACTCTGCGTGCACTGCGCCTACGGCTCGGCTAAAGATGTTCCAATTTACCGATCACTGGGTCTCAAGGCACATCAGATCTTTGCAGTTGGAAAACTCTCCCGAAGGCAGACTACGGAGGCGACTGTAAGTCACATTTCAAGTGCCTTTCAGAGGCTTTCCTGTTTGTTATGGAGATAATGTCGTATTTGTTTTCCCTCTAGCCAATTCGTGAGGGTTACGCTTCACACTTTAAGGAGCTCATGGATCGACAGCATCTTTCAGTTCCAGCAACTGGTCCCCTGAGTGCTGCTGTACTCCGCGATGCTGCCGAGTTTTTCACTTCAGCGCCTGCTCCCGTCCAGCCGGCAGTCTTTTTTGATCTTCCGGAGAACATTTGTGGGAGTGATTTGATGGGCACTTCTTCCTCTTCATCTCCTCCTGTGCGCCGCTGGTAGTCATCTTTCGCAAACCCGCTCTACTCCTTCTCGATTAATTGCTGTGATGAACCCCAAATTGATAGCAAAATTTCCTCCCCCCTCTTGTCCTTTCCGCTCATCTCTCATTTATACACTCAGAGAGTTAATTAAATTTATTTGATGATTACATGTATTTTGTAACACGCATGCACATTTATTTGTGATATCATGATCTCCATCTTTTGATTCCTTGGGCATCCCACTCAACTTTCATATTTGTTTACTGTTTGTATGTGCGTGCCTGTCCTCTGTCCTTTCACTCAATTTGTGTGTATGTTGTTATTTTCTCAGTATTTATGAGAGGAAAAGTGTATTTTCATCTTTTGTCCCTTAATATTTGGTAGTTGGAACTAATGTATTTAATATGTACTTATGTGTTATGGCCATTTCTGTATTTCGTCCCTGCGTTGAAGCGACCATGTCGCACGTTTGCCAAATCATATGTCATGAGTTTGTAACTTATCGAACCGCACTCAGTGCTATACTTATTAGGGTATCAAAAATGTGTAGAGTTGAGTTATCCAGATTTCACCTGGCTTTTAGATTCCGTACACTTATCGAATAAGTAGGTCGTTCCCCAGAATTCAAGTTTCAGGGTTAGTCGTTTTCAACGATTTTGACTGTTACAGCCTTCTTATTATAACAATTTTTGTGAAGGACAATGATTTTATTTGATATTCCACAGCTCACAGTTTTAACACAGAAGGGATGAGAGTCGACTTTTTAAGTGAGTGAATCCCGTAAGCTGCTATTAGTGTAATGTCCAATAACTTTGTAAGAAAGTCAAAGAATAAAAATAAACAGGAGTGGTTTTATTGTAAAACTTCTAAGATTTAAGAATATGACGCCTAGAGGTTAAGAAACGGTGAGATTCATTAAATGGCTATTATAAATCATGAGCAATTTTTTGAGGAGACAGTAGTAATAACTACATATTGATCCTTATGAAGACGACATGCGACTTATATTTGTTCTAAATTGAATATTCAAAGTGTAAATATTGCATGTCGATCACAGTACTAGGTTTCAATAATGCAAGCATTTGACGGCTTAATTTCAAAATGTGCTTTTGATTTGATCAATGCACAATGCTTTAATTCTGATAAATGCCTAAAATTGTTTAATTTAACTAATAGATTCAATATAAAACAAATTTGGATATAAGTCAAATTTTGATTTCCCACACTTAACAAAGTCAATTTTATTAGTCTAAGCCAATTAAAATTCAACAATATTTACAAGGCCGTGGTAGATTTTCCCACATAACCTTATTGTATATTCTTCTAAGGTAGACGTTATGGCGGATCCAGATAGTCTAGAGTCTGATGCTTATGAATTTATTAAAAAAGCAAAACACTATGAAGAAATTAAGGATTATAACTTATCCGTTTTCTATTACGTGGAAGGAGCTCAAGCTTTTCTGAATGCTAGAAATGCAGGATCTACAAACCCTGATATTTTAACACATGCGAAGTACTATACAAAACACGCTGAAAGCCTAGCCAAGAAAAAAGGTACTTGAAAGTTTTCCCTTATTATTTGCAGATGAGAGCAAATCCGATTCCGACCCACCGCTTAAAAATGTACGATTATTCGTTAATCTTTAAAGTCCTAGTGGGAATTTGAACGAGCTAAATGCCTTCTTGACGAAGGCTTACAGGAAGATGAACGGGAAAATTACGTCGATGCGTTAGCATTATATACAGAGTCAGTTGAGATTCTTCTCAAAGTTGTAAGTTGCATCTTGAAAAATATTTTTTAAGTGTAATGGAGCCACAGATCAAGCTTTCCGTGAAAAAGTTGAGAAGTTGGCAGCACAAGCATTAGACAGGTAAATTAATTAAATTTTAGAAACATTTGAGTGCTTCTTCAGAGCAGAGGAATTAAAAAAAATAACTTCAAAATCTAAAATCCCTACCGTCCGCTCTTCTTCACTTCCACACCCAAAGGGTAATTTATTTATTAAGAGTAAAATTTGAGCTGTAATGATTTTAACCTTTTTTGAACACTCCTTCAGGGCCTCCGGGAAGTCGGGGGAATTATACAACAGAAGAGTTAAATGTTTTGCGTAAAACATCAAAAATAAATGGTCGAGAGTACTTGCCATTTTTAGATGCTATCGATAGTCGTGAACGCTTTGCTTTTCCTCGACCTTTCACGTAAGATTAAAAATTGCTGATGGTGATTGAACTCTTGTAGAGATTCTCAGGGCTTGTTAGCTCTTTCATCAAAACAGCAGTCTAGCTTTGTGAAATGGGTAAGACCCAGTGAATTCCAAAACGACCCGACTATGATTGTCGCTGTGTCTTGTTTTCCCATCCGCCAAACATGTGTCACTGATTGCTCTTTCGTTGCCTCAATGGCCGTGGCAGCTCAATATGAACGACAATTTAAGAAGCGCCTTATTACAAAGTAAGTTTTCTTTTTCCTTACCATAATGTCATTTCAAAGTATTATCTATCCACAAAAACGAAATGGAGAACCTGTCTACAACCCCTGTGGAAAGTATATGGTTAAACTCCATCTTAATGGTGTTCCCCGGAAGGTATAGACTAATTCCAGCTCGGCTTTTAATCTGTTAGATAATAATCGATGATTTTCTACCCATGGGCCACCATGATGAACTATTGTGCTCATTCTCGACAAATAAAAATGAACTCTGGGTGTCACTGCTCGAAAAGGCTTACATGAAAGTCATGGGCGGTTATGACTTTCCTGGATCTAATTCAGTAGGTTTTTGAACTCGAAAAAAATAGCCTTGTCAACTATTGTTACTCTCTTCTTTTTAGAACATTGACCTACACGCATTGACTGGTTGGATACCGGAAAGAGTTTCGATAAAAAGTGGTTCCAATGATTTTGACCCAGATAAGGAATTTCGACGTCTGGAGAAGAGGTTCCATCAAGGACACTGCTTAGTTACAGTGGCAACTGGCATGCTCACGCCTGATGTAGAGGAGCGAAGTGGACTTGTACCCACACACGCCTACGCTCTCCTTGATTTACGACAAGTTAATGTGAGTTCAAAGTCAATTTATCTCTTTGCTTGACTTGTTTTTTGCTTTGTCGTATAGATTTCTCATCTTTAATAATCTCTCCCCCCCCCCCCCCCCTAGTTCTTAGTAATGCGCGGATCAGATCAGTGTTACTGATATAATGTTGGAGTGCATCTTGGCTAGTAGCAAGAAACTGCTCTCTTTTATTGGACGGGATAAATCTCTCTAATCTGTTAAAGTTAAATAACTTGTCAATAAGCTCTGCATTTCGAGAAGCTTTGTTTAAATTTATCTTTACCAAGACCGTATCATATATATGTAAGCTCATAATTAATATGGGGCATGGAGTCTATAAGATATATTGAAGTAGTAAATAAGAACCATGGAGCAAATACTTCAAATGTTTGCCTAGCTTCTTCCGATACATTACCGAAGGATGACTCTATCCTGATCCAGCCACTTACCATATTGGACTCCCCGTACGGCTTCCATATTGGTCCATTTGCATGCAAACGCGTGCTTCAGTTTGGTTCAGCAGGGCAGGGGATCGAAATGGCAGAAGTACCATATTGTCCTCATTTCAAGTTGAGATTTAACCAAACGTGCAGCTCTTCAACCATAATATTCTCTTTAAGCTGTAGCCAAGGAAGCTTGAAGTCAAATTTCAGCACCGATCATCATGTTTGAAAAAGGGCAAACCTGCAGTCCTGTGAATGATTCTTGTAATTCGACTTCAGCTAATGAAATGAAGAAAGACTTTCATACCCTGGCATAGCTCTCAGATTCATTTTGGTCCATCATCTCTTATTGCTTTATGCTTCCTACAGTTTAAGACTATTTTTTTGCATTTCGTTTTACTGGAGATCGTATGTTCGGGTAATGGTGCTTCAATCCTCTTTTTACTTTTATCTAGAAAGCCTTAACCAAGTTTCACTATTTTTTATAACAAAGATGTTATATTTTTTATCACTCATCAGTTGAGTAAGAGATAAAAATCTGTTGAATCTAATTTAATTTTTGAATTCCCCCTTTCTCCGTTTCACCTCATTCTTTCTTGAAACTTTTGGAAGGCAATGTGCAGGTTTGTGATTATCTAGTCTGTATGTCACTCTCATAAGGAATGAGTTTGTCGCGTGCATTGTGATCCTAAGAGATGATCTTTTATCGTGATGTCTATAGTACAAATAGAAGTGAAAATTCAGTGAAGTTGTAGTTAATTGAAAAACATACTGCTTTTGTTGCAATTCTCTGGTGAATTGCCCTTCATTCTCTATGCAAATTAAAAATAAACTTAAATTATTCTATTTAGCTTTCTATTGAATGACCAACTGATCAACCATATTTAGCTCTTCGTGGGGTTCAGGCTGCCCACTGAAGCCCAGGCCAAGAGGTTAAAGATGTCGTTCAAGTAACGATTTCTCGTCACTTTAGCATATTAGGGATTGATTGGTTGTTCAGTAATGAAGACGTGACAGAACCTCATTTCTCCTTCGAGACCTTGAGAGCATTCAATTCTTGACCTGTTATGTATCTCAGTCTCAGTGGTCTTTTGAACTTGGTAACTGACATGCGTATTGGGCATCTTTACGGTCATTTCTTGAATTCTTTTATTACGGTTCATTAACGAACGGAAAACACGAAATCTATCTATTTATTTGTCACAATTCAGTTACCTCGTTCTCACTGCTAGTGCATTTTTCCTCCTAAGTACTTTGGTCCTTTGATTTCGGCAAAGTCTGTGGTATCCACTTTACCTTTAAGAAGACTCCTCATTTTGTCCGGGTGGGGGAGGTTGTTCTAAACATAATTTGGTGGAACTCTTAAGATGGCTTTATCTTAGAGACAAGGACTAATTTGCATTCATACACCGCATTTTTTCTTATTGAAAATTCTATTAAACTCACGCTAATTTGGTGTCTTTTGTATTTAGAATACTCGCCTATTCCTTCTCAAGAATCCTTGGAGTAGAACACGTTGGAAGGGTAATTTCTCTAGTGAAGATACAAAACACTGGACGCCAGAAATGCAGAAGGCACTCAACTATGACCTCAACAGTGCCCAATACGTCGACAACGGCGTATTTTGGATCGATTACAAATCATTCCTCTACTTCTTTGACGTCTTTTACATAAATTGGAATCCCGAACTCTTCCCATATACAACCTGTATTCATAGTGAATGGTCAGCATCTGAAGGTCCTAAAAAGGATGTTTATTCGTTTGCAAATAATCCTCAATATACTCTGGAAGTACAGGCTAAATCTCAGGCACCTGTTTGGGTTCTTCTTACTCGACATATTACTAATAAAGTGAGTACTATTTATTGTGCTCTTTGAATGTGACTGCGTGATATAAACTAAACGTTAGAAATGATTTTCAGAATGACTTTGCCCATAATAATGAATTCATCGGCCTAGTGGTGTATAAGGATATTCCGGGTCGAAAAGTCTACCATCCAAATGATCCTGTTCCAATGAAAGATAGCGTGAGGATCAACTCTCCTCATTGCCTGATCCAACTAGTACAAGAAGCGGGAACTGTGACCTATACTCTTGTGGTATCCCAGTATGAAAAAAATGTCACCATCCAGTATACCCTTCGTGCTTACTCAACTGCTCCTATGAGGTTCTCTCCTATTGTTGATCCTTACACTGTCACCAAAACGGTTAGTTTTTAACGTATTAGCTGAAACCGTCCTTATTCCATAACTAACTGTTTGAATTTCTTTCCGAGTAGAAACTGGGTGTATCGGCCTCAATTTTTTTCCCGGTTGTACATTTGCCAAGAGTCAGCTTCATTTCTTAGTTTCAACTGAAGTGATTAAAGACTAACGAGTGTATGTGTTCAGCTACTTTTTCTAGCTGCACCAAGTTACTGCTCTTTAGTTATAGAAATTTTCCTATTATTGTGTCCAGTTTTAGTTGTAAGCTGTTACGAAGTACATGGTGGTTCGAAAACGGTGACAATTCAGTCTTACACTAGGTAACCTTAAAACTGTTTCCTAATCGAAAATAACTCTTTTATCTATCTATCTTTAAAGTTCAGCGGTTGCGTTCACGATTTCTTTTTTTGCAACTTTGGTGCATACGACATAAAGTGTTTGCGCTAACAGGGAGTTACTTCGACTGAAAGAGCCCCTTTGGTGGGGGGGGGGGGGGGGGTGAATGTGGACATTTTGCACAAAGCACTTAACTATTCCATTTATTACTATTTAAGGAGTTTAAGCATTAATTCTATTGCTGCTTACATGTGGAATAACGTGGAGGGAATTGGCTAAGATTTGTGCCATCGAATGAGCCGAAGTGTTCTAGCACACAGTGTGTGGCTTCTATGACCATTCAATTCAGTCATAATTGGCAAGTACATAGCGAAATTGTCAGTGGAAAAATTAAAATTTCTATATGGCGCTGAGCTGTGAAATGCGTAGCGCTAATGAACAGCCTACGAATGAGCCTTCATTGGTGTAGTCGTGTCAAGCCTACTCACTCGTGATTGACATTTCTTTTTTTGAATTCTACCACACTAGGCTCTCCTTTCCGCCTCCTGGATTTTGCTTAGTCTGCGGTAAACTATGTTTTTTTTCTTTTGCCAGTCCGCCTTTAACTTTAAAACATTATCTGGAGCCAAAGGCATTTCGATTTCTCCTTAAAGGCCACGTTGGACTGAAGATCTTGAACAGTTGATATCACCCCGTACTTGAGGCATGAGTGTCGTCTTTGAGTCCGAGGAAAGCCATATGAGTCTTTTCTCTCAAAATTAACCATTGAAAGTACTTGAGGTTGAGCTTATTGTTGTCATCGAAGCCACGAGATCACCACTTATCAGAGCATACAATCATACCAGCTAATTCTGGTTCTAACAAGAGGGATAGTAGAAGGCGAGTTTTTCAATAACTCGCCTCTAGGATATTTTTCCTTTACTAAAGTCAAGTGGTGCGAACACTTCTAATGAATTTGGACTTTATAGCTGTTTTATTCTTAGGAACGTCTCTAAACACGGGCACAGATTATGTTCCTGTAAGAGTTAAAGGAAGTTGGCTCGGAAGAGTGATCGCTCCCATTAAGAAATTGTAGCCCAGTAGTGCAGTTAACTACGTCTGTTTTCCATCTTTCACAATTAAAAAATCAAAATTTGAACTTTTTATAACAATTTTCCCAAACGCTAATCGCCGTTTTTCTTTCCCTTCTTTTTTTCGAGTATAGGCGACTGGTGAGTGGAAAGGCGATACTGCGGCAGGTTGTCAGAACTATCCTAACTTTGATAAAAATCCAACATTTGAAGTGGAGTGGCCTAACAATGAGCCAGACAACCAGGTCCTTGTGGAAGTGCGCGGACCTCGAGAGTTCGCCATCGGATTCACGTTGGATGCTGTCAATCTCACCAACCTAGCTCCTCTCAATCCGGCGCGCTCTTTTTCCACGGGCAACTATCGGTATATCTATCTATTAACCTTGTGTCAACTATCTGCCTACATATCATCTTTTGGAGCTATCTTGTTAATAGCCGTTATTGTGCATTGTTGGTGCTACGTTTAACCTAGTCGATAGCGAAATTTGTTGTCGCATTTGATTTCCGTCCTTGCACAGTGTGGATGGAATGGCACACTGTTTCCCATCAAAGAGACGTTAAAGTTTATCTTACCGGTGCTCCTCGCTATTGAGAGTTCTAGTTATAATTGAAAGGTAGGAATAAATATTGTACATTAAGTAAATGGGATTTCGCCAAGTTGCCACCGATTAGTACGAAGAAGATAGATGATCCGCAATTCACCTTATGACTGTTGTCAAAAAGCGAAATCCCCTTTGGATTATGAGATTAATTGGTTGCCTGGTTTCTATTTAATTATATTTCAAGGAGAAATCGTTAACCGACTTGGGCATTGAAAAAAAGATGCATAGGAAGAATACAATGTACGAGACTTTAATTTAACTCAGGGTGTTCAATTTTCCATGTTGAATAATTATTATAGTTCTTATTCCATTTTATTTTAGCCGCGGCTACACAATGCTAGAAATGTCTGGTCTTTCAGGAGGGAAGTATAAACTAACAATTGCTACGTTCGAGCCGAAACAGGAAGGTCCCTTCATTATTTCAGTAAAGAGTACCCGACCTCTTAAGCTTACTCGACGACGATAGTGTTAACAGATATGCCTTTTTTCACTAACGTATTTACTTGTGCTTACTTTTAATCCTTCAGTGCTTTCATTTAATTTGAATATTGTCAAAGTGCTCTTGTGCACGTTGATATTGAATTATCGTTCTTACTTTTCCTTACCTTGGAAAATTTTTCATATGTAACATCTAGTGGACGTAATGCGTAATATTCGGAAGAGATTTGCATATTAGTAAAATAATCAGAATCCGAAAAGCTATCATTTCTCCGTGTTTCTTCTTATCAATAACTTTGGGTTCTTAATTAATTGGTCGAATACTCTAAGATGAGTGTGTGAAAACGTACACAACTTACAATTAATATATAGGGATTTTGGTGACTAGTCACCAAGACACCTCATTGCCATCCATTGAGTGCGATGGCTACTAAATGAGTAGGCCGCTTATTTCGATGTTAATTTAAAAAACTAATAGGGTTTCGCAAAAGAATTAGTTGAATTACAAATATCCAAGCATAATGAGGCAAAGTGGCAGGTAGCAACTTCAGAATTTTTAGAAGCACCATCGTATTAAATTTGAATTTTTGTAACTTAGAAGTATTAAACGTAAACATTAAAAGTAACTTTCGTTATTACGAAAATGATTATGTCAAATAATATTTGGCAAGTCAAAGTGGGAATGGAATCAGTTCCCATATGTGTATATTTATTTAAGCGATCGTATTTGATTTACGGAGCTTATTAAAATGTGAAAATGCCTTCTAGGTTAATTTGCGGAGTGTTATTAAACGAACAAAAGTCAATTTTGGAAGATATCGATAAATAAAAAAGTTACAATTGAGAATGTACGGCATAACCGCAAAAGATTAAGTGATAGATAGATGCCTCACTAGAATTCTGAAAGCAGTTAAATGAATTGTCTGAAATTGTCTTCATTTAACATAAGTGATAGATCTGGGATCTTAATATTCACAAGAGCAAGCACGAGGGCAAAGAAGTCGTACGAATGTGAAGAACGATAGGTTTTCCCAAAGAATAAAATTGAGAACGGCCATATTTGATTGCCTGATAAATTCATTGTTATCGTGCAATTACAAGTAATTTCAGATTAGTTTTGATATATTGAATTCGATAAAGAACTACATAATAAGACGCGCTATAGTAAATCAACATTTTTTTCTTAAAAACGTGCAGGAAATAAAACAATTTATAAAGAATATCAAATTTAAAATTGTATTTATTAAAATTTGAATATAGTCAAAAAATAACTTAAAACTTAGACATACATTTGTACGGTACAACTAAATTTTGTTGAGTTCATTTTATGTTCAATTAAATAGATTTCATGATCATCAAGGTTGAAAAACGGAGGGTAGTATTTTTTTGTTTTACGTTTACAATTTATTATGTTAAATATGGACAAAACATGGCTAATTTTCATGAATATCCTTATTTTAATTTAATATAAAGTTTTATCTAATTATCTGTATTCTTGAAGTTAAAGGTATCAAAATCAAAGCTTGCAATATAATATCTTCACTTCATTTTTTACAAAATGGATGAAGATTACTATCCATCGGACGGTAACTTACTTTAGTCTTACTTAAAAGTGATTTTTATACACTATTAGAACAATTTCAACTTGTTCAATGCAGTGTATGCTCGAGAAATTTTCGTACGGATGTTATAGTAAGCAATTTGGAATATTGTTTTAGATAAATAATTAAGGATAAACATGAGGCAATCTGTCGTAAAGCTTCTAAACGTAAGCCAAAACTGTTTGATAGCGGTAAAATGCGGGCCAAGGGAACAGGCATACCTCTCAATAAAACTATTCGTCCTGGAGAAGTGGTTCCTCGAGAACCAGATAAGGACGAAAGATTAATCAGGGCTGAAAAAAAGCGCGATAACTGGAGGATGAAACACAATGAATTTATTAAAACAATTCGATCAGCCAAAGCATATCAAAGCGCGGTTTCCAAAGGAGGCAAAGCGCCCTTACCACCTCCACCAGCATCTACTATTGATCCTGGTAACAACCCAGAAAGCATAACGAATCATCAAATTAGATCTTAAGGTGTTTTTCGGTTGTTTTGATCTTTTAGATCTTGTTAAATGTCCTTACTGCAACAGAAGATTCAATGAGACTGCTGCTGACCGTCATATCCCCTTTTGTAAAGAAAAATCCGAACGTGATAGATTTAAACTTCAATCTAATAAAACTCAAAAAAAGGTATGCAGTCATTTGACTACCTATTTATTTAGAATTTCAATAAATTGGCTTGTAAAGTTCATTTCCATTTTTTAGGCCTTGTCTATCATGACCATTTTACTTTTAATTAAACTCAGCTGATAAATAAGCTATTCCTAGTGTGCCAAAGTCAATTTTTGTCTAATTTACACTTTGTCAAAGCCAAATTTTACTAAATTGTTTGGCAAATATTGGAACAATGGGAGTCATTGTTTCATATTTTCGTTGTTAAGGAGATTGTTGTAGCAACGTGTCTATTTTAAAGGCATATACCCTTGCACTGGACATCGCCCTGCTTATTAATATCATTCTCTAACTTTCAGCCCGGTCACATCTCAACCACCAAACCAGTTGAGCAAAGGAAACCCATCCAAAAAGACAACAGTTCCTCCCCAAATGTATCAAAATCTCCTATTTCACCGAATCAGAAAAACTCCAAATCTCTAATGACTCCAAATAAGCCCAAAGACGGTAATTTTGAATTGCACTTAGCTAAACCAAGTACTCACACTTGTTCTAATATGATAGAGGAATTGGCAAATCGGAGGTATACAATCATATACAATTGAGTTGTCTTTTTGTTGGCTTTAAAAGATTTAACAGAATTCTCTGTCCGTATTTAGGCTGTTACTTTGTAAGTTTGACCTCTTCTTACATGTCCCAGTGACTCCGTTATTTACCTCTAATAGTTAAAACAATAAGAACAACTAATTAGTACTCTTCAATCGATCATAGTGATGATTCCAGGCACCTGAAATCAAATAATATGAAAGTAGGCAGGGGTTTAAAGGGGGTATTACGGTTTTCTAATATAACCACAAGGAAGTTGCACTATTTTCAATGAGCTTGGCTCAGAGTAAGCCCCGTTAGAGCCTAAAACAGTCTCAATCCACCTCGGCTGCATATCCTGCTCCCGAATTCGGAGTATGCTGATTTTACACTTCGTTCGAGGTAGATCTAATGACCTGCTCATATTCTGCCCACTTATTGCTTTGACATATATAGAAGTCCATCGGATTAATATCTGAGGAGTTTGAAGCTCAAAATACACTAAAAATGGTGAAGTATGGCAGCGGGGGTGAACTCTGCTATCTTCTTGCATTTAGCTTATTATTGTCTACTCTCGTCAACCATCCAGAGCTTAACTTCTGAAGTTTTAGGCAACTCCACGTAGACCTCTTTAAATTTGTGGTGGCAGGCATCGCATCGCTTTCGGCGACACATCCGAAAATCATGATGGTTTGACCAAATTTAGTCTCCATGGCTAAAACTGTGTTCTTGGTAAGACAAAGTCAAAAGCCTCTTCCTCAATGGTGTTAAGCACATTTCTGCAAATGAAGATTACGTTTTACTGCTGACTTAACATAGAAGTAACCGAGGTTATAGAATCTGTTTGAATCTTGATCGCCATAGCGTATATAACTCAAAAAGGTTTTAATTATTAATGGAGGCATGGTGTATTTGCAATATCTGAAACACATCTGTAAAAAATATTTAAATCTGGCCTAAACACTGTTGTAAAAATGGATATTTACTTATTTATATTAAGTGGCAGGCTATTTATAGTTATCATTAACCCTTTAGTTGATCGAAGGAATATCAAAGTCACGAAAGTCGAATGAGGGAACAGGGGAGTGATTCACAGATGCAAAAGAGACGGACAGACGCAAAAGTAGAGAAAAAGGCATAGGGGAGTGATTACAGTGGAAGTAGTCGAATATTACATACAGTGGAATGATGGTAGTTTGAAGTCAGAAGTCAACTGCCGGTTTATTGACTTTCTTGCCATAAGAGTTTATGTTACTCAGAGATAAGTCTATCGAATATAATTAAACTTTATATCAAAGTATGCCGAGAGAGGAAATATTTCATTACAGTTTCTACGATCCCAAAGCTAGTATACCAGCAAAAAGTAAAGAAAACATGAGCTTCCTTTGTAATAGTGGAAAGCTCTTTTAGTTCGTAAAATCAATATAATCAATTTGATAGATAGGAGTTTTTTACTACTATGATATGAAGGAAAAAAATGTGAACTTTGTCAAAGGATAATGTTGATACTTGTGTACACATTTAATGGCTTATTTTGTGCTAATTGAATCTCGACAATATTCTAAGTGAGTCAGACGTTCATTTTATGATTTCTCATTTCGAAATATTTAAGGTAGCTGAAAGCATACTGATTAATTAATTTTCAGTCAAATCTAAATTATGCTTCTTTTAGTTACGCTATCTCATACAACACGGAGTCTTGATTCCACTGCTACACCGATAAAATCGTCGAAAGGAGTACGTCAGTTCAACGTTTAAAACCGTTATGTTTTTCCCCTCCTGAATATTTAACAAAGCAATCATACGTATGTTATATGTAGAAATAATATATAGATTTTTTTGAATATTTTAGCCCAATAGTAGGTCATCCTCTCTACAAAAACCTGGTCCGAAGCTTACCAGAAGTTCAGATCTGGACACCAAGTCCCGAAGCAGGTACAGTGAATTCAATAAAGATCATCCGTTGACTAAATCTTGTGTGAATTGTCTTGCCTCTGAAATGGAAGACATATGCATCAATACTCTTGAAGTAGACGAATCATTAAGTTCCGCAGTTTTGATAAAATCAAAGCCTGACAGTGGAGATAATGAAATATTTTCAATTTGTCATCCAGTACCTAATTTTGAAAGCAATTTTCAGATACCCAAAGATTATTTAACTGTTTCGCCCTTTAAAAATTCTTCAAATAATACTAAATATTGTTCAACTGTCCACAAAATGTCCCCTGCTATCGAAAATGAAGAAATATTTCAAGACGAACAACATTGTCACAAAACATTGGAAGATCAAGCAAATTTATCGTTCCAAAATGAATCACCTTTACAAACAAGAACCATTAGTAAAAATTCATCATTTTTGTCCAAATGCATAGAGTCTCTAAAACAGACATCTCTATTGTCAAATTATGGTAAAAGCAAATCGAAATTGGAAAATAACCTCATGGATCATATTGCTTCCCAAGATCAAATTGGTTGCGATCGAGTTGATTACATTGGCAATAGTGAGGAAATTTTAGGAATTTTTTCAAAATTTGGAAAATTGGATCGTCGACGAATGGCTGCCCAACAAAGCGGAATTCTAGTGAGAGCAGTGTAAGATGATGTTTTCGGTTTGGTTCATAAAAGGTGTGTTGTGTTTCTTTTGGGAATTTTTTTCGAATTGTAAATCTGGGTTGACGACATACCATTTCTTCGTTTATTGTTTAATATTTTACAGAAACGTTTCTGCTAGACGGGACCCCTTAGCTGGCCTACAAGCATCAAAGCCCCTGCCTTCAAGTAAGGTATTGCACTGCCACGAGTGTGGAGCAAAATATCCTACTACAAGTGTTCGATTTTGTCCTGAATGCGGTGTCAAGAAAATTGCAATTTAAGATACCTTTTTGAACTTTTAACTTACTTTTCTCCTTTCTGTCTTATCTCTTCTAATTCTATTCAATACATATAAATGTTGGTAGTAACACTACGGTTTCTCTTACGCGTATGCTAATAAATTGTAAGAAATTAATAGGCGTGAGTCATGCCAGTTTTTTAATGTGTGCAGGGAGCTTTACTCTAACATGTAGTAAATTATTATGCATTGCTAAGATTTTAACAGATTAAATTGCAGATGCACCTTATGAAGCGCTTACAATTAGATATATCGTATTGAATTGGCAATGGGTTCAATAAAAGGGCCTTGATTAGGCGGCAAAAAATTCTTTGTTGCTAATATATTAACCATCTTGTACTTTGAAACCTGTTAGGATCAAAAGTGAACAGCTCAAATGCATGTTATCAAAGTTCATTTATAAGTAAAAAGTAATTTGCATTTATGGACAGTTTTCAATTCTAAAAATATTATAAAGGCTTTTGGACTTTGGAAGAATTAATTGTATTCAGTTTTTGAAGATGAAATTTGCTTGAAACATTATTATACCTCTTGGCATTAAAGAAAAGGGCCTCATTTTAAGCTTCCGAATATTTCAATGCGATAAACACTGAGTTTATTTGGTTACTTTAAATTTTGGCCAAATGTTGCAAAAACGTTAATTTGCTTTTCTTTATATCATCAAGAACACATGCGCACCATTCGTAAATTTTGGTTGTGACTATTATACTCTGCATATGAATTATAAAGCGTCTAAAGATATTCCATGGGGCCCATCGATGCTAATGGGCGTCCAGTTTGTATTTAAGGATAAAAGAGTCGTTGTTCCTGATCTACCACCGAAATTCACATCTGTTCAGAATTCGACAAATAAATATGAGGTAAATTTTGATATTATATTTTGGCGAATTTTATCACCTTATATGTGTTTAAATACTACAGTTCTGTTTCTATAAAATTTTCTTTTTTGAAATTGCCAAAATTAATAGATTGCATCATATATCGTTCTTTCAGCTCAATTTTGATTACGAGCGGAAAATTTTGAAAGATTACGAGGCGACAGAAGAACGAGAACGGCGTCGATTAAAGAAAAATACGCAGGCAGAAGGAACTGCAAAGGCAGACCTGGCTGAAATGAAAGAATCTTCTATTCCTGTTGTGCCACACTTAACCCCCATCGAACCAGAGAAATCCGTTACGTCTTCTACGGAATCAACCCGAAAAGCCCCAGTCAAAGTTGATAGCTCCATCTTGGAGGATTTTGAATTTCGAGCACTGCGCGACGATCCTTTTATTGCCGCAGAACTGGGAACTATAAATGATCTAGAAGAACTGCGCGATGTTCTTGCTTCTATGCAAACTACTGAACCTGTAGAGTCCAAGAAAACGAATATGTACAAAATCCTTAAAAATATCAGTTTTCCTCACCTGTCTTTAGACGAAAGTATTCCTAATCAAAATGTTAACAAATCATCTGCGCCATCTTCACAACCGAATCTATTTGGCACCAGCCACCAACCGATTTTGACATGTGATACATCAGAGCGTGCTTCATATAGTAATAACATTGCCAATGAAAACGACATGATCTCCCGGCCTTCACATTCTAGAAATGCTAATGCTAGTCCTATCAAGTTTGAGCTAGAAAGTGACACGACAAAATCGGAGAATGAACGTCAAACGCGTTCTATTGACAGTGATTGCGGCAGCTTGAGCTCGGTGTCACTTCAGGTTAATTACTCATCCACTTAAAGGATTTTACAAATGGATTTTATTTAGTGTTCTTAAGATATGCTTTGACTGGGAGCGTTTAGTTGTTATTGTTAAATCATCTACTCATTTGAGGCAAGTATCGTTTTGTTTTTTTCCTCTAATACAAGTTAGGATATTATTTAGATGCATAGATTTTGATTGCTAAGTGTATGAAAATTAATCGACTTTTTTCCCCATGTTCAAGGTGCTGCTTCCACAAGTATTGATTAGCGTTGATTAGTTCTTGGTAGCTTTTTCTCTTATCTTGAAAGCATTTGTTAATTAAGTATTCCTAAACAAGCTTTTTTAAAATTCAATCAATGATAGGTAATGCAATGACATATATACTATTAATTGCTTTATGGATCTCCTTAGAAAGATCGAATTCACATGGTTAGAATATTTGCTGGAGATATATTTTTGTATCACGCCTGGCTTAATATTTAAGGGTATGATATTTTCGATTTTGATGTAGATATAAGTATTCGCTGTAGTATTGCTGCGTTTCGATTTCTCCGATTCAGAAAGTAGATGTAGACAAGTAGGTTCAATAATGACTTTGATAGAAATACTATTATCGTGACGTAGTAACTGTACTTCTTTCTCATATAGAAGCACACAATGTTTGTGAATGAATGATTCCGTTACCAAGACCGAATTATGCTTGCTGAGTCCATCAAGATATCTCATTGTGTTTTTCTAATCGGATTGACAGCCTTATTTTCTCTTGTTGATATTTTTTCCTAATTTTGATTTGCTTGCATTGCAGAAAGAGCCTTTCTATCGTTCTACCCCGTCCTTCCAGAGTGTAACCCACATACCGATCCCCATGGGAAATGAAATCCAGAATCAGAATCGTAGCAGGCACGTGTCAGAATCTTTCTTGATCGAATCTCCCATTGAAGAGGAGTGCCAACCTGACGATCCACCAGTCGTTCAACGAGTCGTGAAGATGGGCTTTAAGAGAAGGAAGGCTCTTGCTCTCTATAAAGTCGTTACAAAGCACGAAGGTACGTTGTGATTTTTTCACTCTGTTTTTTATCCTTGCAACTTCCTAAGGTGAGTGTTGGGGTTATTAAAGGCTTATTTATGATTGCCATAAAGAAATAAGGTTTAATTTGCTTTGAAGAACGCTCTAGTATTTTCCCAGATTGACGTGCTACGATAACTGTTTATAAAACGGTTGGACTTGTTGTTATCACATCTAAAATTGGTACATGAGATTTTATTTTGTTGGGCGCCCGTTAGACTTTTCGTGCGGGTGATTGAGGTTTGTGGGTGCATTTAACAAATGCAAACCGCCACTTACTATCGAACCTGCCCTTTGGATGGGGGAGAATCAGTGTAGCTATTTCAATTGACGATACTTGGAGAGTTCAATGTAGTGAGATACTGCCTTCTCTCAAAACCTGAACTAATTATAAATTCATTTGCGTAGTTGAAGATCTTAAGTTTCAAGAATGATTGAAAAAGGTAGGTCACATCGTTTCTAATATTTTCGAATTATACTGAATGGTAGCTTTATCAACATTTGCCTTGATAAGGGAAGGTATCTTAACATAGGTCATGTGATGGGTTGTGACATCTCCAAATTACACAAGAGAATCAATCAAGATCGAAACTGTTTATATTATCTCGGTTACTGCTATGTTAAGTCAGCAGTAATTCGTAATCTTCATTATTAGAAACGCGTTCAACGTCAATGAGGAAGCGGCTTTTGACGTTTTCTAGCCAAAAACACCCCCCTAACCATGCAGACGAAATCTGGTCAAACCATCGTAATTTTCGGATGTGTGTCCTCTTTCCTTAGTCGCCGCCTCCACCACCCTCGTCGCCGAGGGTGATGTGGTGTAATGTCTGCTACAGCAGGTTTCACTCCCCTGTCATAACTCTTCGGATCTTAATCCGATGGGCTTCTATGTATGTCGAAGCAATTAGTGGACAGAATTTTGAGCAGGTCTTTAGATCTAACTCGAACAAAGTGTAAAATCAGCATACTCCGAATTCGGGAGCAGGATATGCAGCCGAGATGGATTGAGACTGTTTTAGGCTCTATCGGGGCTTACTCTGAGCCAAGCTCATTGAAAATAGTGCAACTTCCTTGTGGTTATATTAGAAAACCGTAATACCCCCTTTAAACCCCTGCCTACTTTCATGTTATTTGATTTCAGGGGCTTAGAATCATCTCTACGATCGATTGAAGAGTACTAATTAGTTGTTCTTGTTGTTTTAACTATTAGAGGTAAATAACGGAGTCACTGGGACATGTAAAAAGCGGTCATACTTACAAAGAAACAGCCTAAATACGGACAGAGAATTCTGTTAAATCTTTTAAAGCCAACAAAAAGACAACTCAATTGTGTATGATTGTATACCTCCGATTTGCCAATTCCTCTATCATATTAGAACAAATGTGAGTACTTGGTTTAGCTAAGTGCAATTCAAAATTACCATCTTTGGCTATTTACAATTGCTTTTTTTAAAACTGTCTCTGTATTCTTTCTCTTAAGAATTGATGTTTTTAGCAATCTTTTAATGATAATAAATTAATCTCCAACTACAGAAAATTTGACTAGATAAATATTGGACATGAATAGAGTTAAGACGTGGTGCAGTCACTCGATTGAGAATCTCACATTTTATCATTTCTCTCGGTGACTGAATTTGTCATGACTGTTGGTCATCCACGTAACCGATCTCATGATCCCTGTCAGCTGTGGTAGGCTTGCACGTTAATAACTTGGTTGGCTCAAATTTTTAGCATTGCACCTTACATCTCTCTATTGCAAATTTTTTATCCACGCAAAAAGTCATGTCTTGAGCTGCTGGGTCGGTGTTTTAACTGTGTGGGCTTTAACATTGGAGGTATTTTTAATATTTATTTATTTATATCAAATAGCAGGCGTTTTGAAAGTTATCATCAGCCCTGGAGCTGACTTTGGGGCTTCACAGAAAGGAGAAGGAACATCAAAGTGAGAATAAGTCAAGAGGGGGGGGGGATAAAAGAGTGATTCGCAGATGTAAAAGCGACAGACAGACAGGCACAAAGGCATAAAAAAGGTAAAATGATTTCTGTGAAAGGGGTCGAATATGACAAATAGTCGGGCCATAGAAGTTTGAAGTCAGAAGTCAACTGCCGATCAATAGACTTTTTGCCGCATAAGTATAAGTTGCCCAGGGTGCACCACGTGGAGGTAAGTCTATTGCGCACCCCGTATTTTTATATATATATTTGGTTCGAAAAAGTTTCATGAAGCGGAATTTTCCGTTTAATCGCCCTGGTTGGATTTTCGGAAAACCCCCGGTATAATATTTATAGTATCGAGAGTCTCGTTCCATCTTTTTAGTTATAAGTGAGAATATAATGCCTTTCCAATTAGAGTAACACTTGAGAGGAGCCGCTTTGCTAATTATGTGATTCAGAAGAGTACCCTTTTGTTATGCCATAGGTAGTTAATAATCTCCACTTTACCAAAATGTCTACTGACACTAAAATCAATAATCTCATTTTGCGTTTTGTTTCTTGACTTTTTCCAACTTATAGTTAGCGTATCGGAAAATAGCATGATAAGCCAATTGTGCAATTGGAATGAGCTCGAGGACAAGGGTCTTGAACCAACTGTGTGTTTCGCATCTGTCGTATTTGCGCCCAATGACCTAGAAAAGGTATATGCTTTCTTTACTCATTACCTATATATCTATTTATATTCATTCATGATTCATTTTTGGCTATTATCAAGCCCTACTCTCTTAATACATTTGATCCAATTCTAGACTTCTTCTGTATCATTCCTGGCCTTATTATAAGTCTAATTATACATAGTTCGATAAATTTTTCATTATTGTGACTGACTAACATTAACGTTTAAATACGTTTTATATGATGTGTTGTAAGAGTGCTAACTTTAGCTTCATGGGATGATGTCATCATTCACATGAAGGTGAGACATTAGGGTGGTGGTACATATTCAACTGTTGTTGCATAAGCGTAAATAGATTTCTAAATCTACAATTTTAGATGGTTTAGCATGTTGTTTTAGGAAATATTATTATTTATTCTGTTGTTACCCGTGGTAATTTAAGAGGTGGTATCTAAATCCTTGGAATTTGTAAAGTAGTTCAATAAGGAATGAAATGGAGGCCAGGACGTCCAGCGATTCACTGGGATCATTGGAATCATTACAAGACTTAGCTTGAAAGAGCTGTTGGAATGAAGAAAAATGTGATCATCGAATCAAATGACTACGTGAGGAATTATCATGATATATATTCCAGACCTCTACGTAGGTGTGACGACCCAACGTAAAAAAATATTTTGTCTAGCATATTGAGTTGGTTGGTGCTTATTACAGCATAGTGCTCTATCATTAAATTGGGATGTTTTAGCTTAGAACAATAAGCTATCTAAAACAGTCTTTCGTTTTTGTGTTTTGTGTACTCCTATTAGCTTGCCTATTAATATATATAACAAACTCAATATTAGCAATAAATTCACCTCTTACTCCGACAAGAATACTCTATAAGAAAGTACGGCGAAGGCCAAGAACTTTGGGGAGGAGTTAATTGTCACCGACTAATTGAGAGTACTTCTACTTAGAAATAGTGATTAGTGTGTTGCTTGTTATGTCATAGCAACAGGGGTCCGGCGCTGATCCGGATTTCTGAAATAAGTCAGCATGATGAACAGACGTTTTTGAGCAAAGAAGTCTATCTAAAAGCAACTTAGTAATATACTATTTGGATATTGATATCCACGAATTGGTACACTAAGTAATAGGTTAAATTTAATCGAGGATTATGACTAATCTTAACGCGAGAATCATTTGCCTTAGTCGTTTATTCATCTTTGTCAGTGAATTTATTATTCGCTCACTTTGGGAACATGTTGTGCTCTATCAGTTCGCTTTGCCAGTTTTGTCAATAGTGTTAGTTTACGTTTGCGTATTTTCCTCGTGTGATTAATTTTGGGAATCTATTTGTCTTTTTTGTACTCTCCTTATGACGTTTTATAACCGGATATTCTCTCCATTAACTTCAGGCATTTAAATTTGGAACAATGGTTTCAGAGCTGTGTGAGATGGGCTTTCCTATAGATTCCGTCTTAACTGCGGTACGCACCTCAAATATGAGCAAAGAGGAGGCTGTGATGCATCTTCTTGATCCGAATGCCAACTCAAGCAATGCCACACCACCCCGGCAGCATTCTTCTCATCACCACTACCCGCATCTTTTAGAGTCCTTATCGACCCAGGGCATTAGTCGAAAGAGCAAAAAGAAGGAGAAGAAATCATATTTGTCGTATCTACATGCAAAGCATTGATTTTTTTCCCAAAACAACCTGCTTACCTATTTGCCTGCACGTCTTTCAAAGTTGTATGTGCACTACCCTCGTCATTGAATTAATTTTCACTTTTTAATTGTCGTTTCTTTCGCTCTGACACTCCAGATTATTTATAATTCTCGTCCTATTAAAATGCAACTCCTCTCCTCACTTTCCCCTGCTTTCATGAGTCTGTGTGTGTAAATAGTTGAAAAGGAAAGAATGTTGAATACATTCGAAAACAACTGGCTAATAAAATTCTAACGACATAATTGGAATTTACAGTGATGCTAGAAAGACTCGACAGTAATTAATCCTCGTTTAAGAAGGAAAGATCCAGACTTTTGCAGAGGAAGTGTTCGCTTGGAGAAAGATGAGATGTAAATTTGTATCCCTTTCCTAATTCGATGTCTGCTTTTTGGTTTATCGTCGGAGAATGATTTTGGGGAATCTGGGCAGAAGCGAACAGGCGACCGAAGTTGGTTGGTCTTTGACTGAATTTGTTGGATGTTGGGGGATGCCTAGCAAGAGCGTCTTGCCGATTTCTGCACACAGTGCAGACGAATAGACGGTCATCTGTTTGTGAACTGGTACTCACCTAAAGAAGTAAACAATCGGTAAAATAATAAGTAATCGTGACCAGAAGTTGAAGCACCCACCTAAATGACAGGAGAAATAAATGCAATAACTAGTGAAAGCAACACCGTAAGTGACCTACCAAACTTGTTTTATCGGTCTGTGAAGAAGCACAGCGTGACTTGTCCCTTGTCCGAGCATTCTCCTGTTCAATATTTACTGGTGACCAGTCTTGAGTTATGTAATTGATCAAGGAATTCGATAGATTTGAACCCCTCCATTCACTAGAAGTCACAATCATGGATTCATCAACATCATTATCATAGAGCCGATCTGTAGATGAAGTTACTTTATCTTGGTTGCTTCTGCTAAATTTAGAATTCTTCGACCGGAATGGAAAGGAGTCCTGGTCATTTTGAGAATAATGAGTTTGACTAAGGGTAGTTGGATGATTCTTTTGAGTCGGTTGGTACCAAGTTTGAGATGCAGAATTGGGCATTGGCTGAATCAAGTCCCCAAAACGAGAACTACAGCCACCATAGGAATTTGTGGAAAATAGCGAAAACTGCCAATCGGGTGATTCCTTTGATTGAAATCCAGATGTACGATCAGAAAGAGAGGTCTGATTACTTTAAAAGGGAATTGAAATCGGTCACTAGGATTCCTTAAATATTAAACAAATAAATTGTCAATAAGATTACTAACTTGTATGAAGTTCGATTTACAGCTGGATTTGAATGCACTAAGGGACGCTCTGAATGACTGAATCGACCTCGATGATGGAAAGGATTCCGCCATACTTTATAAGGAGTTTCGTCATAAACCTCAGATACATTTGAAAAGGAGACCTCTGATGCCATTGGTGAGATTTCATAGCCATCATTGAGGCATTGAGAGGTGTTGAGATCCTGTAAACGAAGTACAGCTTGCCAATTTAGGAAAAGTGTAAATAAATAAAAAATGTTCCAAATGTGGAAAGTTACCGCAAAACTGGGGGGATGATATGGCACCACTGGATCAGTAAAACTTCGGGATTTTTCATAATAGTTCAGAGAACTGGTGGGTCTATCTTTCTCAGAAGGAAATTGATGAATACCTCTCCAAGGACAGTGAGGAGCTGGTTCCGAAACGTCACTATTTAATCGTTCAAAGGAAATGTAAATGTCAAATTAAAAACTGGATTCATTTTTCCCTAAAATCTAATGCTCCAATATTAGGAAAGAATAAATGTGCTGAATGCTTATTAAATATCTATGACCCTACTCTGTATTTACCTAAATATAATCGATTTCACAAATACATGAACACCCTAAAACAGAAAAATGTAGGCTTATAAATTATCCTTGCATATTCTAAACTCCAGAATCGAAATTATAAGCATTTGCATCATGTCATAGGAAATGAAGTAAATAGCCACTAAATAAACTGGTCATCTATTGATGGAATTGGGGTATTCCATTTAGGAAATCTCCAAAATGCTTTCCATCTGTAAAATATTTGAGCCGAAGCGTATCCTTACTGATAGAGAAATTATTGTTAATGTTTCTTTTATTATAAATAACCACTTTTGAATTAAGCTCACATAGAAAGTCATTACCTTTTTTGGGCCTGTAGGATAATAGAATTAACGGCTTCATCAACCTTTCGTCTACAGAGAGAAAATAAATAAGCTATAAATTTACCTTTCGAGTTAAATAAATTCGATAGTTGGACAAGTTCATTACCTCTTTTGCTCGACGAATTGATTTGACTGAGGAAAATTAGGCTAAATCATCAAAAATAATTCCATAAAGTTAAAAGATAACATCTTAAAGTAAAAACAAAACCAAAATGCATAAAGCAGTCTATTTAAATAGCAATGATCTCTTACAAGTGATAGAGGATCGTAATTCATACCACAATAACGTGTAGTTTGCATTCCATGCCAACTTTCTCCATTAGTACTAATTATTGAAATATCTCGTGATCGTTGGCGTTTAATGGGCATTTGACTGCAGGCCCAACCTTGTGGTAAAGGCCTTAATTTTATAAAAGAGTATAAGAAGCACAATTAAAAAAACTCAAAACTAAAATTTATAAATGCACATATAATTTTAAGAAATATAATCGCACTAAAAGTTTTAAAAGGTCGAAATTTTAACTTTTTAAGCATACATGAAGCTCGTTTGTGGCACCCTATTTCTGTTTGACATTTTCTTCACGAAAATATATTTACAAAACGATTTTTCTCGCGCTACTTTAAACAAACATTCAAGGTTAAAGAAGCCCGAATGTTTAATATCAAATATTTCCATAGAAAAAAATATATAAAATTTTAAATGTTTAAATTAAACTTAGTCATATTAATATCAAATTATTTTATGCGATAAAGCCATTTCTTTGATTTGACAAACTCTCTAAGTGCGACTCCGTTAAATTTATGTAATGTTGTTGTTTCGTACACATGAAGCATCAATTTTGTACCTTATTTCTACAGATTTACAATTTATAATTTTCTTAGCATTTACGAATTCATAAAATATTCTTGATATCAATTTTCTACAAAAAGATCGAGTAGAATATTAAATAATCTAATAGAATAGATACCACTCTATACACACGATCTTTAACTATTTGGTAGCCAAGTTATAATTTTGAAGTCAGCGCCTTCGACATCGCAGCTTAAGTTCTGAGATGACCTCAAGTGCCTCCTGTTCACATATGGCCTTTCTCAATAGGACCTTTGTTTCATACTACTTAACACATTTTACGTAGTGAGTCCCCCCCCCCCCCCCCCCCCCACCCCAACACGAATGCTGGTGCATTTTTATCCATAAATAAAAATCTTTGACCACAATGAATGAAGATATTTAAAAAAAGGTTCCTATTAATTATACTCGTTTCGTTAATGAATGAAAAAGACCCCGAGTTGTCAATATACAACAAATTTTAAGAATCATTTCCAAAATATATGCGTTTGTAATACGGAATTTCTTACTTTTGGTAGCTCAATATATTCACAGATTATCATTTTTATTCCTAGGCGTCCTAGGGTATGTAATGGGCAACACCTATGATTTATAATTAGAACACTGCCAATATTTTCTTCATGGCTGCTTCCATTTCTTCTAATCTCTTTTCATAGCAAACGTTCTGGCAAAAACAAAGTTCTTTAGCTTCAATAGCTTTTTTGGATACTTTTCAAGCTGACTCTGAGTTTAGCGCTTTCGATTATGGTTTTGCATTCTAATCGATTTTAGATAAGTCAAATACTTTTCAATCTTCAAATGCCATAATTGATAAATTTGCTCTTAACACTATATTCAAGTCTCTTGGCAATTTTACTGATAGCAACCCACTAAAAGTTTTTAGAATTCACAAAGTGAAAATTAGGTCACTTTCAGTCTTTCAGGCATGAAGGGATTAACTAGTTTCCCTTGACCAAACTTTTGTTATGAACATTTAACTTTAACTTGTTATCAGATGTAACTTTACTCTTCCAGTAGAAAGCTTCTCCATTAGCAAGTAGAAAAAGTACGATAGCTAATTTTCAACTAAACGGAATCTACACAAAGTTTATCCCATTGCCTTAAATTGTGATAAACAATGACTTGTACAGAAGAATACTCTTCTACTCCTGAATACGCGAATGCTCTAGTACTAGACTGGAGGCAATTTTCCTCCGAATGCACCGAACTATCGCAGATTCAATGGCCCTCTTTGTAGGTGTTTCAAAGCATCATTCGAAAACACTTTCGAATTTCGTTTTCGAAATATGTGGGGAATTCATCAGCTTTCCTTAAATCATATTGTGCAAAAATACTCCCCAATTTACTCTAATTTCTACCCAATCAACATAGGAAATATTTTAGTTCCCAAGTATCAGTATTACAAATGTTTTTGAACATTTTCTTCAATTCACCAAAAATCCTACTCAGCTTACTATGTCCAAAACATAAAGGTGAATTTAAAGATACCACTGCATAACAAACATCTGTATGAACTGGAAGCTGCAAAAATTCAAGTGAAAATAACCTTTACTCTTCCAGTAGAAAGCTTCTCCATTAGCAAGTAGAAAAAGTACGATAGCTAATTTTCAACTAAACGGAATCTACACAAAGTTTATCCCATTGCCTTAAATTGTGATAAACAATGACTTGTACAGAAGAATACTCTTCTACTCCTGAATACGCGAATGCTCTAGTACTAGACTGGAGGCAATTTTCCTCCGAATGCACCGAACTATCGCAGATTCAATGGCCCTCTTTGTAGGTGTTTCAAAGCATCATTCGAAAACACTTTCGAATTTCGTTTTCGAAATATGTGGGGAATTCATCAGCTTTCCTTAAATCATATTGTGCAAAAATACTCCCCAATTTACTCTAATTTCTACCCAATCAACATAGGAAATATTTTAGTTCCCAAGTATCAGTATTACAAATGTTTTTGAACATTTTCTTCAATTCACCAAAAATCCTACTCAGCTTACTATGTCCAAAACATAAAGGTGAATTTAAAGATACCACTGCATAACAAACATCTGTATGAACTGGAAGCTGCAAAAATTCAAGTGAAAATAACGCACACGTACAATATATATATATATATATATATATATATATATATATATATATATATATATATATATATCGAAATATTTTCTTTCGTTTTAAACACAACTTTGTAAAAACTGCAAAATAAATGATGAGAAAATCCATTTGAGCCTCATTATCCTGGCAAATTTAGTGCATTTTCTCATCCAGTAATTATTGAGTTTTATTTCATCTTGGCTCTACTCATGACACTGTTTCTACAATGCTACCCTTAAAGCCCGGGATTATCTTCCCCTTCAGCCGTTCATTATATAGATAATCCACCAATAAATAACTAGAAGACCACCACCATCTTCTCTCCCCCCCCCCTCCCGCCCTCAATTTTTTGCCCCCATCAAAAAATAACAAACAGTTAGCCATCCCCTCCCCACAAAAACGCCACAGTGTAATTGCATGCCAACAACCCCGACTCTGGGAAAATCCTATGAGAATGACCGCTACAAATCTCTGACCAATAATCTCCCTCCCCTAACCTTGATCCTTCACCTCGCTCCTCACTTTACTGGCAGTCTAGATATTTTGAATATGCAGCCCCATCATCTTTTCTCCTTCTCCTACTTGCTACTTCTAATGAACATTGATATTTATCTGAAGGGGATATGTGGTTATAACGTCAATGCCACTGTCGGTAAGAATTTTTTTCTCATAACATTCTTGCTATTTCCCATGTCAACGTAAAACGTAAGTGTCTAATATGGATAAATATCTAGTACCATTCAAACGGAGAAGAATTAGAAAGATATGAGTGCCTTACTTCGTCAGAAACTGGGATAAGTCAGGCCTGTTTTACCTATCAGCAACAATCAGGAACTTGGATTTAAATTTCTGATAAAATCGTTATTTCTAACACATTTAAAAGGTGCTTTGTTTAAATCCTTATCACCATGGCTCATAGGCGAGTAACGACCAGACTAAACTGAATGACTGGCATTGCTTCGTCTGGTGTATCCATCTATTCCAAATAATCATATTCATTAATTTGTTGCCCACAATCGGCGTAATAATGCAATTAATGGGTAGTTCGGCCTTAAATCTGAAGTTAAGAAGGTGAAATATTCTCCGTTTCATTTTCTGCTTAAAACTGCCTACTCATGTTCCTGTATTTTTTTCAATGATATCTTTTCGTAACCCCCCCCCCCCCCCCCCCCCCCCCCCCCCACCACACCACACCCCCAGGAAAAATTCTAATAGCTAAATGTTAAAGCAAGAATACAAGATAATATAGTCATATTTATTTTTTAAATTAATATTTTACGACTTTATAACGCAATTTCCTCCAACAACTTTTGCAAAATTGTCTGTTTTATCGGCCATTCGACCAAAATTGAGCCGATCAGAGCTAATGAATGCTAATTCTGCTAGGAATTTCCCATATGTGTCTTGCATAATACATTTTAACCCCTTAAATTTATTTTTTCGTCTTGATTTTTGAGTGTAGATTATCCTGAATACATTTATCCCACAATTGAACTGAATTTGCATGGTGTGAGTTATCGAGGGTATCCCTTGAGGGACAAGTCAAGTAGATGAGAACAAACGCACCATACAGCAAGCAGATAATTTCCACCAGAATATCCGAGGAAGACTAAACACTTTTTATAGGTCAAGCAACATTTGCGAGAAACCATAAAGCTACAAGGAAAATGAATCAGGAATCGAAGGAGGAGAGAGAACAGAGGTCAAATTATGGCATGCGAACTGGATTGATAGTTTTCATTAAGTGTGGTAAAAGCTAAAAAGAAATGATTTGGGTGATTCTACGTACATAAGCGCGAGTTTGAAAACCCAAGCAGCTTTTCAACCTCTTCTCTGCTGATTATTTATTTATTTATATCAAATGGCAGGCGTCTTGATGGTCATCATTAGCCCTTTAGTTGACTTCAGGCTTCACAGAGGGGAAGAAACATCAAAGTGAAAAATAAGTAAAGAGGGGGGGGGGACAGAAGAGTATTTCAAAGATATAAAAGAGACAGGCACAGAGGTAGAATAAGGTGAGGTGAGTACTGTGAAGTAGTGGAATACGACATACGGTGAGGTGATGGTAG